TTTAGCCAATTTCATTATTACCTAATTATGTGTTCCACTCTTAGGATAATATTGATTAACTGTTCTCTGAGAAACCATCCTAATATAAGCAATATGGTGTTCAATCTTCTTGGTGAGAGATACAGAACTTCTCTGGAACCCTAAAGTAATTTGAGTAGATTTAAAAAGTACTTTTGGATAACTGTAGCAATCATGGCTAGGCACATTCATATATTTTAATATCCTTTACTTTTTTTTTTTGTACCAAGGATTGAACTCAGGTCCTTGCACTTGCAAGGCAGGCTAACGAACCGCTGAGCGAAATCCCCAGCCGCAATCTCCTTTAATTCTTAAATCAGCTTTTTCAGTGGGTCCTACCCTCAGCCCATTTTATAGGAAAATGGGACAAAGAAAGGTTGAATAATTTGCCCAAAGTTCTACTGCCAGTAATTGACTGAGTTAAAATATCATTTCTACATCTTCCAGTCCAAGCATTTCCACCACTTCTTAGTCATGTATAACATGAATGGCTCCCAAATAACCTCACCAGATTGTGTTTATTCTTTGTGTACAGATAAAATTAGTCATGAGCATTTCTTCTAGCTGTCCAAATTAACACTGCAAGAGTGTGTCAAATAAAACCAAACTGTTGGTAGGGGCAGGGAAAGAGGGAAGAAGAACACTTCTCTACAGTCCAAGTGATTTGGATCAACATCAGCTTTTGAGACTATGCTATGTGAATGTGAAATTAGGGCCTATCGTCAATGGAGTCTTACCAAACTCCACATCCAGTTCTTGCCAGGAAAGGCAAAAAGAAGCAGCAGCTAAAAATGTAACCCATACTGGAGCTTGCACAAAGTCGCCTTGCATTACTTACTGCTACATGATGGTCTAGAAGAAATATTTCATTAACTACACTCTTGCTGTAGATTTTTATCTAGTTACCATAGAAACTCTGAAGGAAAAGCTTGTTTTTAACCCTTGGACTAGGTTTGCTACCCAGCTTTACAGCTCTATTTAAAGAGCCCCCTTGTTATTTTAAACTCTTCCCCTTCTGCTCATCTTTTTTCCTCCTGTTAGACAACTGGACAGAACCTGTTCATGACCTTTAAATTGTCACTTTATTGTGATTTTCAAGGCACAATTCCTAAAGGTGGATGGCTATAGCCAATAGTACTTTTCTGTGTTTATCTGTGATATAGGCTCTAGTTGTAACAGACTTCTGTTTTTAAGCTGAAGTTTTGCTTCATCAAAAATAAAAATGAACTGTCGTGTTTCTATTACCTCTGCCAAATGAGCTTCCCCATCCGGCCCAAGCTTTTATAGTTGGCATCACAAGACCCCACCTGACTCCCCAGACAGCTTTCAGATTGGAAATGTCTGGTTTCTAGATGCACTGGGTCCTTTTGTCCTCCCACCAGCCCTCTCCTCTTTTGCAGCCTCCAGGAATTTCCAAGTACACCATTAGAATTGTTTGCCTCTAATGCTTTCCTTTCTTTTGGGGACATGCACAGAGCAGTTTACAGCCAGTGGGCCACTAGGTCGTGTACTCCTGCCTCTCTCCCTACTGGGTGACATCTAACACTGTTTCTTTGTTGTTCTCCCTGGGGACTTATTTGGTACCTGTGGAAATTCTCATCTGGTTGTATTTGATTTTTTGTTTGTTTGTTTTTTAATACAGGAGAGAAGTAGGTGTTGGACAACTGGATTGTATTCAGTGGAGTCAGTAAGGGCCTGGACTTGTTCTGGTTTGGAGAGAAGATAAAGGACAAGATGTTGGACATTTCCAGAAACTAGAAAATGTAACTGTGGCGGGCAGGAAGATTGCTTCTAGGCTCTTAATTTTGGTCATAGATGGAGATATGATCAGGTACCATGGTTGAGAACAACTTCATATAAATAACGTATTCTCTGCAAAGCCAGATCCAGTGTCCTGGAAAAAGCAGAGGGAAGGCCTTGTTGTGTCCAGATAATGACTGTCACCCCAGCAGACTCAGGCAATCCCACATCATAGGACTGATATCCCCACAGTGAAGTATTTATTTTAGAGCTCCTACTACTCAACCTTTGCACTGTGGGGCTCCAGAGAAAAGCCTAGATTACTCATACAAGCATTGGTGAAGAAAATTATCCACTGCAGCTGGTTCTGTTCTTGTGATTACTAATGAATGGCCAAGATAAGCCAGTTCATCTCTGAAATATTCCCTGGAGATTAAAGGGCTTCCAGGTTGCCCTTTAAGAGACACAACATAGGTAGTGTCTCTCTTCTAGGAAGTCCAAAGGTGACTACTGCAAGCCAATGGACATCTGTACCTGGCTCTAGGAAGACAAAATCCCAGGTAAGCCACAGATGTGAAAAAGGAGTTTCAATGCATACTGGGGCTATCTGGAGCTGCAACCCCCTTGTTTACTCATTTCTGAATGTCTCTCATCCCTTTGACAAAACCAGTATATTGTAGATGCTGAACAGGTATTTGTTAAATATGAACTAAAGAGTTTTTTTTTTGGCTATAGTTCATAAATTCTGTTTTTTAAATAGCAGCTTTGCTGAGACGTACGTGTCCCCATAAACTTTACCCTTTAAAAATATACAATTCAGGTTGTAGCTGAGTGGTTGAGTACTTGCCTAGCAATGGTCAAGGCCCTGGATTCAGTTCCCAGAAATGATTTTTTAAAAAAGGAAATAGAGTGCACAATTTGGTGGTTTTCAGTATATTCAGAGCTGTGCAATTAACATCACTATTTAATTTTAGAACATTTTCATCACCCTCTCCCCTCAAAAAATTCTGAGGGTTTCTCCCCATTCTTTCTCCCTCTAGTGCCTGGCAACCACTAACCTACTTCCTGTCTCTGGACATAAATTTCTGATTGCTGTATTCAACACTTTATGTTTCTCTATATAAGCACACAAAGCAAAATTTCCACCAGGGTCATGCTCTTCAGAAAACATTCCTGTGTTTTTCTGGTTCTAGCTAATCCAGTCGTGTCCTTTCTATCATTTAAAAGAACAGATGGCTTAAGCCTTCTCCAGGCCAAGGCTGTGTCTCTGTTATTGCCAAATATATTGATGAACACTGAAATTCAGCCCAGAAACACAATGAAAGCAAATGTGAAATACCTGGACATGGCCAAAATAATTCAGGCATTTTCCCAAGCAATCACATGGGTGACTCATTCTGGTGCAGTGACTCTTAGCAGAGATGGAATTTGGGTACGCCAGGTCAGGCACAGTGGGGTCAGACAGGGTCTGAGAAGACAGCATTGAGGGTGGGCAGCAGGTGAAGAAGTACCAAGCACTGTTTTAGAAACCCTAGCAGTACAGCACCTGCCTGGCAAGTGTGAGGCCCTGAATTTGATTCCTGGTACCAGAAAGAAAAAAAAAAATAGAAGGAAGCCCCAAAGCTGAAGCCCAGGGTGTGAGCTTGCAATAGGAGTTGAGTCCATAGCATGAAGGACTCAAGCTCAGGAAAGGTGAGTTCAGGAGCCAGGCCTGTGGAGGACATTGCTGATCCAGTCTAGGCTACTCTTTCTCTCTAAACTCAGGCTTTAGACTCTTTGGTGATTGTGTGTTTAATATGGTTATTACTGGGTAGTTGGTGTTGACATGTATAATGTCATCTATTAGCCATCAATGAGCAAGAGCTCAGGAAGGATAGGGCTGTGAAAGACTGTGAGGTCATCTAAGGAAGATGAGAAGGGGACTGGACAACTGAGGATTAACTGTGTTACTAGCTTTGTTGGGTACCTGCAAAGCAGCTTCATCCTAACTCTAGGAATGACCCTGGGGCTGGATCTGAAGCCCAGTCAGGTAAAGGTCCCATTTTCCAGGCTGTGCCAAGAAATTAGACAGCCAGAGCCTAGAAATCAGGAGAACTGATGTATTAGCCAGATTTCCTGTTGCCAGAGCCCAATACCTGACACCTACAACTTAAAGGAGGAGAGATTTAATTTGGCTCATAGTTTTGGGGGATTCAGCTCAGGTCAGCAGGCTCCAACACATGCCAACATCATGGTAAAAGGGGATGTTGGAGCAAAGCCACTTAGTTCATGGCAGCTGGGAAGCAGAGCATGAGAACAATGCCAGAGAGGAATAGTGAGGGACCAGATATAGACTTCAAGGTTATGCCTCCCATGACCTACCCAAACACACCCAGAAGTTTGTTCCACCAATCAACCTCCTAGGTGGCTTCCAAGCCAATCAAGTTGTTGCAATTAAGCTTTACTGTCATGCTTACCAAAGCCAATCACCCCAAAGCCTGCCCCTGGAGAAGCAGCTTCTAACCGGAGGAGGAATGAAACAGAAAATTTCCTTGAGAGCTCAGTGAGTAAATGGGTCTGCCCAGGGAACTTGCTTCAGCTATAAGCTTCCTGCCCCCTCCCCTCAAAGGTCCCCTCCACACAGGAAATGTTGGTGTTAAACAGTTTGATAATGCAAACTGCATCTGCCTTGTGTTTAGGATAGCTGGAGGGCAGGGAAAGAGGACTTGCTTCAGGAATGAGTTCCAGGAAAACTTGTTTAGATCTCTTTGGTGTTCATAAGAGGTGACAACATAACATTTCAGGCAATGATAGACAGCATGCACAATGGTAGTCCTATAAGATCTTATCACCTAGAAATACAGTAGCCATCTTAGTTTATGTAACTACACTCTATGATGTTTGCAACAATGACAAAATTTCCTAATGATGTATTTCCTGAATGTATCCCCATCGTTAAGTGACACATGACTACACTTTTCCGGGTTTTTGGACCTCTAGGTGAATACAAAATACTTGTACCTTCTTCATAGCATAGCTCTGTGGGACATGGGGCTTCACTTTCTTTTTAGATGGAGGAATTGAAAGCCATACATGATAAGATGTCTGACACAATGAGGCAGCCAGATCAGAATGTAGTCTCTCCTGTCAAGCCACTGGCCCCATCAACTGAACAGTGCTGACTCATCTAGGCTTCCAAAGCCTGACGCCCCACAATGACATCACAGAGTAATCAGAACAGCTCTGCAAAGAAGTAGGCAGGAGCTACTGTGTGCCTAACTTGGGTTTTCTATGGGATTTTCCCTGAGAAGCCAGAAATATTTTCTTCCTTTAAACCGAAGGTACTCAATATATAAAACATTTTTTTATATCAATAACATTCTTTTATATGTGTATTTGACCACACATCAAAAGATCCAGTGTATGGCTGTCCTACCATTTCTCAGAGGCAGGGTGCTACAGGAGGAAAAGGACTGGCTGGGTTTGAAGTTAAGAAGGCTCCAGTTCCAGCTGCAGCACTCACTAGCTGTGCAGCTTTGGGTTACCATTTTCACTCTCTGAAGGGCTGTCCTGAAGATTAATAGCGTATGTAAACATCTTAACACATAAAACCTAATCAGTAATGCTAATGCCAACCATCCTAGGCAAAGATGGAAGCTGGTAGCTTTGTATGCAACTCAGGATTGTTCGCAGTAGAGAAAATCTGCACTTTTGGGTTTCCAGATGTCCAGGCCAAAGCCCTTTCTTCTTCTTAATCTCTCTGCTGTCTCGGGCTGGGGACAGCAGTAGGGGTGGAGGAAGCAGGCACTCAGAAGGTAGAGTAGGTCCTTTGTCCCCCAAGGACCGGCTACTAAATGGAGGCAGGCAGTTATGCCTTGCCCACAGGGCTGCTTTGGTGTTCACTTAAATGGAGCACAATGTAGAGAGAACTACATTCACTTGGTTGGGAGGTGACAGTGGCAGGAGAATCTGAGGGCCAGTGGGAACTACAGAGTCACCAGAGAGCCACACCAAGATGGCAGCCCTTGCCACTGTGGAATGTTCCACAAAAGCATCTAAACTGGTTACTTGATAAACTATCTCAGAAAGCACAGCACGTCTCAAAGGTCTTTTCCCAGCCTCCTCCCTTCCTCATGAACTTGGTGTGCACCTCTTGGCTGGGATCTGCCTTTGGCAGCTTCCTCAGCCAAGGTCTACAGCATGCCAAGAGGTCAGATCCAAAACAATGGCAACAGCAATAGCAAAGAGCCTCTGAATAATGATGAAAAGCTGAATCAGGGAGCAGGCCGGCTGTCCAGGAATGACACCAGAATGACAAATCATGGCCTTGAGGCCCCAAGTCCTCTAGACCAGGAGCTCAGCTGGAAATAGTGGTGGTGCAAGGGAAACAGTTACTCCCTCCTCCAGCACATTTTTGAGAAGTGGCACCCTTTATATTGATGTGAAGGCTGCTAAGACCATGATGAAAAGCTATCGGCAGAAAGTATAAAGACAGGAAGATGAGGCCTTAGAGAAGATAGTCAAAGACTGTTCAATTTTAAAAACTAATTCTTCCTCAGGCACCACTATGCACCTGGAGCTCAGCATAGCCCGCAGCCTCTGTCCAGAAGGGACTTAAAAGCTCTGCAAGGTAGCAAGAGGAAAACCACCCTGAATCCATCTACCTAGAATAGAAAACTGTGCTGAGAGGAGAAGGTGACATTTGAGGAGTGAGCAGGAACACAGTCCTAGGAAAGGAAGGGGTGTCAGGACAGTGCCAGAGCCCTCTATCCCATCTCCTCCCTTCTTACTTGTCATCCTAGCTCCTGGTTCCAGGAGTAGACACTTGTAGAGTCAGGGAAATCTTGCCTCGTGGGCATTTAAAATATATCTGTAGGTGAGGCCAGCCTGGCACTTATTTCTTCAAAATGTTTTCCTCTCCTTCTCTTCTTCATTCACCACCCTGGCCTAGGTCACGAAAACTCATTCTTGGATAATTACAATAGCTACTAATGATATTCTCAGGATAGCTCTCTCCCTTTGCAGTCTTCACCGCCCTGACCATATGATCTTTTTCCTAAACAGCTTTTGTTATCATGAAACTCCTTTACTCACAGTTTTACACTGATGTCCTACTTGGCAATGTCTGAAGCCCAGGCCATTCTGCCTGGCTTTCCAATTCTTCCATAATCCAGCTCTAACCTCTACAGCTTATGGAGAATCTGGACTCTCAAATTCCAGCTCCACCCAGTTTCTCCTCATACTGGACTCGTTCCTACTTCCATTTCTTGTTTCTTGTTCCTGCAATGCCTTCTTTATCCTCTCTGTCTAATCAGATTTCGATCCTCCTTCACCTCAAGCCTTACCAGATTCTTTGGCCTCCATGATCTCAATGTCAGTTGAAGTTGGAAGCTCTTGATAAATTTCTGACTGTCTCATTTGTTTAACTATCATGCAAAGGATTTCAAAGCAAGGCATTCCTTGTATCCTTCAAAGACCTCTGCAGAATCAGGACAGAGTATAGCATCTTCCCACAGAGGGTCACAATCCATACTTGTTGGTTTTACAAAGTCCAAAGTGACTTTGAATTATAGTGAGGTCTTTCATTCACACAACAAATGCCTATTGAGTACCTGCTGCGTGCCAAGGTCTATGCTGGTGATTAAAATGTGAAAAAGACGGGCAAGGTCCTTGACCTTAGTGAGGCTGCAGATTAGTGGAAAAGAGATAGACAGTTAAACAACTAGTTTCAGAACAGACTGGCCTGAGGGTGCTCTGATAGAGGACAGAGAGCATGCTATGGGAAGACATAATGAAGGTTCCTAACCTAGTCTTAGGAAATAATGGAAGGCTTCCAGAGTTAGCCTTTCTTAAAATAAGACTTTGAGTTAGGTGGTTAGGGGTACTAGGGAAAATAATACCTTAAAATAACTGAGATTTAGTGTTGCTTGTTCATTTAGTAGGAATATCACTTTGGTTTTCCTCTATTTACCTATAAGAACTTTACGTCAAAAGAGTGTTTAAATAATAATGCAATTATCTGCCTGCCTGTATCTATCTATCCATCCATCTATATATTCTCCATTTTGTTCCAAAAGGCATATAAACGGATTTAATGATGTTTATTGCTTCACTAGAAATCAGTAGGAAAAAATGGGTCAAATGGAACAAAAGGAAAGAAGTGTGGACTGGAAGTGGAATGAGACAAATCAGCCAAGAATACATCACAAAATTCTTCATATTGCTGGACATGACTAGGTAAGGACACAAAGATGCATTTTTGTGGGTAAGATCCCTGCAGGTTTCCGCTCCTCCCTGCCTGAGATGTTTGGAATAGTGTTGCTTACAAGTGGAGGCTAGGGAGGAAGGGGAGGAGAGCAGAACAGATCGGACACACACTCACGGAACACTCCTCCCGTCCATTGGTTCCAGGCACTCTGTTGCTATTCATAGCATTTCCTTTTCAACCAAAATGTGGGAATAATCTGACTGCCAAGCTATTATGGATAAAATGAAGAGGCTGTCCACATACAAATCTGTACTCCCTTCCTATTACTGGGAGCCAGAGGGCTGAGGCCCGTCCCAGCTGGGTTTTCACAGGTGCGGATTAGCAGGGCAGTTTGTCCCTTGAATAGAAAGAAGACAGGATTTATACATCACTCATTTTCCTGAACTCAAGTCACAGCCTGTATGTACTGGTATTTTATTATGCTGTTTCTGGATTATTTATTCAATATTGTTTCATTAAATTTTAAAGAATATAGTGGTTTTAGGAATAAAACATGAAATGTCAGAGTCCAAAATGGATGGTTAAATTCAATAAATATTTTTAAGTTTCTGAAGGAACTGAAGTATGATGTCTGTGTGTTTATGTGGGAGAATAGATAATATTTCATTACTAAAGAGCCTTCTAGTCACGTTGAGACCAGTGAATACAGAGGCATGGTGCTGCCTTGCAAACTTAGCTGTACCCTAATTTGTCAAAGAACATCCACCTTCCATTCCTGTGCAGAGTAAGTGGCTAGACTCAGCATCTCATGCTAAGTATTCTGGGCACAAACATCAAACTCTCCTTTGTTTTCCATGGGGATGGCAAGAGGCTGTGAAACACACTCAAGGCCCCACAATTCTATTGACTAGTTTGGAAACAGGAAGGCACTGGCTGCGATATTCAACCACATTAAATGACCAGCATTATCCATTATCCGGAGCCCTGCAACATGAGTTAATTGTGCTTGCTGGGCTTTGACGCTGGGAACACTGGAGAAAGGCTGTGCGTAATTAGGAGCTGGCCTCGTGAAAAAGGCTTCCTTCACACCACATGTCCAGTTTTTGTTCTCAGAGGCGGGTGCCAATCTGAGAAAGGGTAAGCCCCAAGAGAGATACATTTATAAAGAATTTTGAGGATGTGTGGCTATCTTGTTGCGGTGACTCTGGGGTGGGGAAGAGATTCCCAGTCAGAATTGAGGCCAGGACACTTGCCAGTGATAGAATGTAACAGAACTCTGCTCTTGACAATTGTTCATAGTGAACTACAGGCGCCTGTGTTGGAGTACTGAGATGTGTTTTTCTAATAAATCCTTCCTGAGCCAGGGTGAACTGTTCCCAGATACTTAAATAATTCGATGACTTAATATTTCATTTTAAACCATGATCTGCACAGAAATTTTCAGACTTAAGATGTGCTTCATTCAGGTTGTTTCAAACTCTGAGGTGGCATTACAGAAATATTTCTTATAAATGTTAATAAATAACTTACACTGTTTTTAGAAGAGCAGAATCAGTCTTTTCAATGGCTCAGAAAAGGCTTGAAATGAGTTTTTAGTACAATTCAGACAAAAACACATTCCTTTTGAATAGAGGGCCTCACACCCATATTGTCAGTTTTATTTGCTGAACCACAAGCTTTCCTTAATTTCTGTACTTATCAGTTTATAATTTTTGAATAGCCAAATATATCTCCTTTTATGAAGATATTAATAATCTGATCAAGCTAACAAGTGCTCATCTCCTTCCTTCAATCCTAGTGTGGATGTGATTTCCAGTAGAATTAACTGCATTATGTACCTTGGTCATCTGTCCAGTGTTGAGTCATAAGCTTGAGGCTCTGAGCAAGCATAGTTGTGCTGAAGCCAGCCATTGTGATTGATCTGTAAACAAACTCAGGACCTCAGCATTTTATGCAAACCTAAACTTTCTTCTATCTGGTCCAGGGTTCTTCCCCAATAGCAGTATCATCTCTATCTGAAATCCTCTCTGCTTGGTAAGAGAGTCTGCAATTGTTGACCATGACTAGATGCTATGAAGGTCTCCCATGATTCATCCCAGGGGTTATTCTTCTGCCACCCTACATAACTAAGCTGATACAGCTCTCTCCAAAAGGACCATAACTCACTATTTGTATATCTTTTTCCTTTGCTTAACTTTTAAATGAGGGAGCCCTGACTCATTCATCTTTGTATCTCCATCAACCCTGAGAAGAACAGGCAAAACAAAAAAATGGGCAATTCTTCCAACTTTCGACTTTAGCACTAATTCACCTCACTCTATCAATCAACCAAACAAAGCTACCTATTTCATAATTCCATCCACATTTCTCCAACTTGTGTGTAAAAAAAAAAATCATGAAAGATTCTGTCAAACAGCCTTCTAAAAACCCAAATGTATTCCCTGAATTTTGGGTTTCATATTTCAATAAAAAATGGAAAGAACTTAATTGGTGATGATCTATTTTTGGTGCATCAGTGTTGGAGCCCAGTAATTATGCCTCCCCTCTTTACATTTTAACAAGCTATTTGTTTCATAACCCATTCTAGAAATTTGATGGTGGCTCACACAAAGATTACCAGTCTGTGGCTTCTAGACTCCACCTCTGAAACTTGGGTTAACAATTTCCCCTTCTGATCTGTATCCACAGATACAGCTATTCATTCCTGCATAACTTGTTCAAAGGTAGTTAAAAAACAGTTCCTCAATCATATCTTTAAATTATTTGGTTGTCTGAAAAGTAATTTATCTCAACTTACTGACTTGAGTAGATTTCAAATAGCTAGCTGCTCTCCAGATTCTCCATTGAGGCCTTACCCCACTTCTACAGGGCACGCCTTCACTGATACAGGGAAAGAAACACCAATTCGTGCCTGTCTCCTGGGACAGTGTAACTTTGGGAGCGGTGGCAGCCTGGAAGAGAACCGCTGGAGCATTCCTGCCAGGTAATTTTAGCAGGAAATGAAACCTAATCTTCAGATGTCTTCATTAATTTTGTATTCTTTTTCTTAAAATTTGTCTTTTAAGAAGCTGGCTCTTCCTCTGGATCTTACGGAATCTTGTGTATTTTCCCTCTGTTGATAGTGTTTTTCTGGACATTGTAATGACCAGCATATCAAAGCAAGAAATGAAAATGTAGCAGTGTTTTATGGGCTGACCAAGAGGCCTGAAATACTCCATGCTGATAGCCAACATTTTTCCAAGACTTGGAAATTCACTTAGCCTCACTTTGTCTTTGTTTTCTTATACAACATGGGGTCATAGTCCTTTAGTGTTAAGGGTTGACAATTACTCAGTGTTGACCCTTTAGAAGTATATCCCACCTTACAAAAACTTGATAAATAAAAATAAATGTTTACTGACATTAAATATGTATTTATGTGCACAAAAATTAACTTGCTAAACCCAGAATGAAGAAAATAAGATTTGCAGTTAGGAAAACTGATTTCTGAACATAAGCCAGGAAGCAGCACAAGGTTGAACACAGTCTTTAATCCCCATGAGTCCTAGTTTCCTCATCTGGAAAATAGAGATGATAACTGGAAAAATCTGAATCCTAAATATGCTAAAATGCTTTATAAATTTTTGAAAATGCTTTACAAAATTTGGAAGTTATATATAGATGTGTATATAAAGTTATACATAGATGTAATCATTAAAATTTTGATTAACTTAAAAAAATTCAATTTACCCAAAATTTTCTAAAGCACAGACTACATATACTATTGGCTGTCATGAAGGGCAAGAGTAAAAAGTTTAGTGAGTGACAATACAAATATCAAATGCTATAAAGACAGATTTCAATTAAAAATAAAATATGGGCGTGGTGGCACACGCCTGTAATCCCAGCACTTGGGAGGCTGGCAGGAGGGTAGACAGATTTCAATTAAAAATAAAATATGGGCGTGGTGGCACACGCCTGTAATCCCAGCACTTGGGAGGCTGAGGCAGGAGGATTGCTGTTGAGTTCGAGACCAGCCTGGGCTACATAGTAAGTTCCAGATCAGTTTCAACTACGTAGTGAGACACTGTCTCAAAAAAACAAACAAACAAACAAAAAAATCCAGCCTCAAAATCAAACCTCTCCAATCCACAGCACCTTTTGCATTCTGTGCACTCTGAACACTAATGATATGGGAAGTTATATGGGAATCCAGGATCACTACATTTGCTATCTCACCTTGTCATAAAATAAACATTCCTTCAATCACTTCTTTAATCTGTCCCCAAAGTCTGGGATATTTTGTAGATACTCTGCCCCTTCTCAAGCCCAGAAAAACATCTCTCTAGATTTCTGAAGTGCTTACACACGAGATTCTATCTCCTCCATTTGTTTGCCCATAAGGTCACAAATTTCCAATTTGAAGACATCCATCATGGATAAAAGTTGCAGGTTGCCCTTGAGATGCCCATGCTTCTCTAAGGCAGAAGGAACTTTGCATCTTTCTCCTCTTTTCAGAAGACTCGAGAAGCCTTTCAAACCTCTCAGCTTCTCAAGCACCTAGCTTTCAGGATTAATCTGTTGAGTTGGAAGGCTATTGCTAGACTTTTCTTAGCTCAGTTTAACAGCAATTTAAACAAAGATGCCTCCCCTTGCACTCTGTTGTGCTACAAGGAAGGCAAAGACCTATACATGGTGGAGCTTCTAGGATCAATAGAGACAACTTCATTCATTATCACCAGCCCTAACTTTCAATTCAGAAAGGAATCCTGTTTCAGTTCATTATCTCTGCAAGATCTGGCCTCATCCACTAGGAAGTATTTCGCCCTTCTGCAGAGGCAATGAAGGTGAGCGGCCCAGTTCCCTGCAACAGGTGCTGGCAGTTTTCTGCCTGTTCCTTGCCATGCATCTCCCCTGCATATCTTGACGTCCAGGGCCAGATACCTTCTTCCAAATTCAAAAGGACATCATCTCTCTGGAACCCACCCTCTAGTACTGAGAGCCCAGACAGCACACTCTTTCTATGTTTCCTCTTCATTTTATTTGTGCACATAATTTTTTATTGTGTCATGGGGTGTTAGCTTAACAAATCTTTCCACCTCTCAAATAAAACCCTGCTTGCCCAAATGATCCAGGCAGGGTGTTCAACCCATCTTTCTCTCTGTATCTCTCCCCTATCAGAAGCCCATACCTTTGAAAGACATGAAAGAAATCAAGGCAAACTCTAGACAGAAGAGAAAAGTAAGGAAGAAAAATAAAGACATGGGATCAAAATTTTAGAACACGGGGGTGGGTGTGCAGTACTGGACGGTAAATCAGGACCTTTCTGAGTAAGAAAACTGTAGGTCCCTGGTCCTGAGACATGTATTTAATTGACATAAAAACTCAGGATTATCAATCCTTAATTTCATGTAAAAATCAAGAAAGTAGAACTAAAATACATTTACAGTTGTGGCCTGGTAGGATTTCTCCCTCCTTCATCCTTGTCATTTCCTTGCCTTCTCTGAGTTTGTGATGGCAAATTTATGCAAATCGGCCCTGTTTAGTATAGAACACATCAAAACTTTAACAGGAGAAACAGTTCATTGACGTGAGTAGCAGAAAGCCGTGTCTGCATTGTGTGCTATCTAAGAGGGTCCAAAGCCTCCCTCAGCCCCAGCACCACACAGGATAGTCAGGAACCTTCTGGATTTATCATGCACCAGACGGTGCTTCCTCTCCACATACTGGCCTCACCTTTACCTTCCTTCCCAGCTTCCAGTCCTGCCCTGTTGAAGGAACACCTTGGGTTCCACACAGATTGCTGAAAGGACTGGGGATTTCTATACTGGCAGAGAGGTGAAGGAGAAGCTTTAACGATACAAATCTGACAGTTTGCAGGGGTGTGAACTACTCTAGCAACTTGTCTACTTCTCCTCAGTAAGGGGGATTCTCAGCTGTGGCCTTCTCTATCTCCAAACATGCCTCTGTGAGGCTTTGCTTGCTACCTCTCTGTGCGTTTCAGTCCTGTATCCTCACTGGTTTTTCCTGGAAATGATTCCTAATAAATCATTTTTACATGAGTCTTTATCTCAGAGGTAGTCTCTAGAGAACCTAGTCTAAAACACCTTGATTACCAGTTTCTAGCACGCAGAACAGAGACAATACTTTTCTGTTGTTGAAGACACCCGAGACATTTTATTATGGTAGCTCTAGCAAATGAACATAGCCTCCCACTGATAAGCTGTTCCTAGACCCTGAGAAGGGGGTGGGACACTCTTGCAAATGTCCCTTGGGTCAAAGTCATAGGGAAGAATAGCGAGAAAGAGTTCTGAGCCAAGGACAACCAACCCACAGGCTGGCCAGGAACCAGGACTGGCTCAGAGTGACAACTCAGGACCATCACATTCTGTCAGACCATAGGAGGTTGTAGTGGATGCTGATTTGGAAGTTGGTATAGACCCTGGCACCCCGCTGCCATTTTGGGTATGTACAAAACGAATAAGCAGAGGAATCTGATCAAAAGAAAGCAAACATAATGGAGACAGGCAAAACTGGGGTTGGGGGGGACAAAAACAACACTAGGCCAGAGTTGTCTTGTTTCTGCCCTTCCTGAGTCAGATTTCTTTAGGTAAGGAAACATCAATCCCTGGAAAAGAATGATGCCTAGTAGTGAATTAAGACATTTTGGGGGTCCAGTTTCTTGTCTTACTGGAATAGCTGAGTTAAAATCTTAAAAATTGCTTTATTTAAAAGCCTTAAAATTTTAGGCACAAGGTAGAATTGTCTTGGAACCCTGTGATAAAGTGTGACCCCCAAAGAAGAAAAAAGGTGGGGGCAGGTAGAAACAAATGGCTATAGGGGTGGCGCTGAAGCTTGGAAGGCATAGGGGGCCTCATCCTGAAGGGCCTTATAACCCAGCCTAAACAGTGTGATTTTCAGAGGAAGAGAATGGCCTACACGTTTTAGAAAGATTAAGATATCAGCAGGGTGTAGAATGGATTACAGGGAACAAGACTGGAGGGAGAGAGTAAGATTAGGAGACTGTTGCAGGAAGCCAGTCATGAGGTGACGGTGGCCTTATCAGGTGTGTTCAACACGCGTCCGAAAGGCTGTATGCAGCCCTGGACTCCATCCAGCCCCACAAGATCATAAACTCTTAACAATATTATGTGATTTTTTTTAAGCAATACTTTTCATAAGTTGATTGGGCAGTGCTCTTAAACAGCTGTGTAGAGGAGGGCACAACACAGTGCTAACTCTTCCTATAGCTCCTGCAACACTGTTAGTCCAATGGAAACCCCAGGTATCAGACTATACATGTTTTTGTGCAACTTGGTGAGTAAAATTACCAATAATGGTATTTCAACCTATCTAAATGCATGTGTGTGTCTGTAAAGATGGGTGTTTATTGTTATTAAACGTACAGTTCCTGTTCTCCATGGTTTAAATGAAGACTGGTCCCTGGAGGAGGAGGAGGAACTCAGTGAAGAGACATTTGAGTGGGGACACTGAGTGTATTTGGTGAATGAGGAGCTCTCCCCTGTGAGATGTGAAAATGGAGGAGGGCATATTTTGTGAGGTGGCTGGCCAGAGAGCAAATCCCTGGAGCTGGAGACCAAAGCAGCAGCATTCCTAACCTCTATCACTCCAAGAACCAGTTCCTGATACAGAAGATGTAGTCCTACAATGTGGTCCCATCCTTTGGACTGACAGCATAAACCATCCCCACACCCCAACAACAGAAAATCTTCTATCCAGGCTGCTGCCTGCTTGGAACCTCATATGAGAGCTCTGTATTTACACATTCAAGAGAATCAAATCCCACATAATCATATATGTGACAAAAGCCTCAGCTATAAGCAACATTAATGAAGACAAATGAATCATTCAAGTGCTGCAGCCTGCACAGCAGCTCCCAGGGCCTCACCTTATGCACACAGGGGGGCTACGCCACGAGGTGTGGGGTGGCTCACTTCTGGCTGCAGTTCTTGCCTGGCCTGATGGAGATATATGAGACACTTCTTACCCAGGGGGCACCTCATCCAGGCCTGAACAGCCCAGCTAGGAGGTAGGCAGTCACAGGGGGATTTGAGGTAATGTTGAGATTTTATGAAAGCTGTTTTAAGGGAGATATGCACGCAGAGATTAGTTGAGTAGAGAGGTCTGATGGTGGTAAATAAACAAGCTCTCTTCATTCTGGTGTGGCTGCTGATTGGGAAAGCAGCTATTGGAATTTTAATTCCAGCCAGTGAATAACCGCACCCTAAAAGGCATCTTACTGAGTGCCTTGAATCAGTCCTACATCCAAGATGGGTTT